TCGCTGCCGGCTATCTTCCCCAACATTACCGCGCTCTCTCTCGTTCCCTTCCTCGTTCCTGGGTACTCGGGCCACGCTTCTCTCACCATCGGCTTGGAATCGCTCACCGAGCCGCCAGAAGGGGAGCGGAAAGTGACTTGGCCCGCTCTGGACACCCTCTGGGTCTCGGTGACGGACAAGCGAGATGCAACGCAGTTGGAGACGGCGCTAGACTTCCGAGCGTTGCGTGGTCACCCGATTCGTCACCTCACCGTTCGCTACAACCCTCGCAAGAAGAAGGGCAAGGGTGGCGTCGAGAACAAAGTCCCGAGTTTTGCGGCGGCGTTGGAGGAGCACGTGAAAGAGATCACTCTCATGGAACTCCCGAGTCGTGAACCGCGCCGGGAGATAGATTGGATGGTTAGGCTGCCGGAGAGGTACGGCTTGCCTTCTGCCTTCCACAGGGACTGGCCTTCGTGGAATATCTGAGCAGGATGGACTTTGGGTGACATGAACTCACAAAGTTGGACGTGATCATTCCAAACCGAAACGATCCATCTACGTTAGTCATGATTGTCATCGTTAGTCACTTCTGAAGTGCAGTGAAACTGTTCCGAATGCAAATTTATCTGCCTAAGTGCGAGCGAAGCATCAGAATGATACATAACACCGCAATGCGGTTCAAAACGCCGTCCTCAATAAGCCTGCCTCCGGACGTCTCATTCTGGACAGTCCCTCCCAAGCTCCCGAATGCAAGGCGTTCTATTCTTCACGCCTCACGTCGCAACTCTTTGTAAGTGACCCGCCCTTGTTCAGCATTCGGCTCGCCAATCTGGCTCTTCGAAGGCGACACGGTCGCGACCCTGTCCCAGCCGCCACATCGGCGCGGCCTCTGGATGGCAACGCTCCCGCTACGGAGCGTAGGAACGCTCTTCACGAGGCGCGTCGCAAACACCTGCACGTCGAAGTCGTCCAGGGTCCGTTCAGCACGGCTGAGCAGCAGATGAGACACTGGGCGCGGGCGCGTTCCTGGGGCGGGAGGGACGGTCCTCGAACAGAGGTGCACGATCGTCACGGTCGGAGCCATCGCGAGCGGGTTGGACTCATCGCGGAACTGTATGTCCGGGTACAGGCCAACGTCGCGCACGGTAATCTCGAGGTGGGAGAGCTCCAAGGGAGCAAGTGCGTCCCCAATGATGCTCTAGGGACAGGTAAAAGTCAGCGTCGCACCCGGGCCTGCTGCGCCCAACGTGATCAGAAGGGGACGTACCAAGGCACGGCCGACGTCAAGCTCGCAGTCGTAGACGGTGAGGTGTAGCTCAAGCTTCAGGTTCTTCAAATGCGACATGTCGGTCGAGCACAGGGCTTCGAGGAAGTCCGAGTTCATGACCTCCAGTAGGGGAACACCTCGGAAGCTGATCGTGAGCTGCTCCGGGCACGCGTACTCGAGCACTTCGATGAGTGCGCGATTGGGACGAGCGGCCGGGGCGTCTTCGAGCACAAGTCGAGGAATGTGATGGGCGATGCCGAGCATCCAGAGGTCGAACACGCGCCCAGTGAAGACTCCAAGACGTTCCCAGGGTACCGCATCGCCTTGCTGGTTGTCCTGCCAGGCGAGGTTCTGTTGTCGCTGGAACATGATCGTGGGGCGCAAACTGAGGTCGTCGTGGTAAGACGGCGCTTCGCTGTCCACGGAGAGATGGAGATGGGTGAGGTTAGGGTACGCTTGCATGTAGGGGATGGGGATGGGCAAGGCATTGTTGACAAGTGTTAGCGTGCGGAGGTTGGGATAGATAACTGTCGGAGGGTTGTACATCATGTCGGGATTCACCTCACACCAGAGCCCAAACGTCAACGCCGTCAGGGTGTAGGCCGACCGTTGAAAGACGTATATGGGGTGGAAGCCCTTGTTTGCCATCAGACTCGGGTTTTTTCTATGGTTGATAGGGAGGTAGATGTATGCGGAGGTGAGCCTAGACTGAAGTGTTCGGGCTAGATTGAGAGAACGCTCGCCCGTGTTCACCAAAACCAACGTCTTGACAGTCTGAAGTGCAGCAAAGGCAGGAAGGAGGTCGGGATAAGACTTGATTGACTCTTCTACAGCGAGTTCGAGCCTCTCGAGACGTGTCAACCGGGGCAGCAGATCGACCAAGATCCCAGCGATGTCCCCAGGCATGGGGCCCATGTCGACGCAGAGCATACGCACGTAGGAGCATCTCGAGAAATCCTCTGCCCGTAAGAAGAGGAGAAGCGATAAGATTGTTGTCTCAGACCCTTCGAGTCGGATCGGATCCTGCAGGATTATCTTTGCACCTTCGTGATATAGACAGCGACAGGTAGCCATAATCGACGTAACTGTCTTCGGTGGGGAGACCGACAGGATGAGTAAGAGGACGTCCTCGTTGAGTTTGCTTTGTGGCACGGCCCTCATTGCTTGCTCGCTGCCAGGCATGCTCATAGGAAAATATCCAGTGACCCAACGTCTGACTACAAGGCATGAGAGAAGACGGGCATGAGCGATATGCGTTGGAAAACTTATATAAAACATACGCTTAGCTCTCCCGCGGAAGCTTCTGGTCTAATTGCAGTTCAGCTGAAGCGTCGGATGGTGGTGAGGGAAGACAAGAACTGGTGTTATGCGAAACGAAGACTGACTAGCAGATGCATGCGCGAACCACGTACGAGCTGAGCCGAGCTGAACCGAGCCGAGCTTAGCACCTTAGGCCACCTCTGTCATCGAACGGAGAGGAACTGATTCGCGCATGCATTGAAGACCCGATTGACTCACCAGACTTCTCGATACGTGCAAATGGTGCCTGTCAGCGTAGTGTACCTGGATCACCGTCTCCTTGGCCATCCGTCGAAGAGAGCAGCGGAGCAGAAGCAGAAGCGAGCCATACTAGATGCTTACATCCCGTACGTGGCGGAAACCAGATAATGGCGAGCGGCACCAAAAGGCGACTCGGGCGTAGAAGGCGCTTGTCAGGCCGACACGACGGTGACGTTCAACCACTATATGCGATGCGGTGTATTGCAGAGTATTGTCACAGAGAAGACATTTGGAAACGATAGGACCTGGCTGATCTCTCCTGAATAGATCAAAAGTTGAAAGCCATCTATCACGTCAGCCTAGCCTTCCTTACTGCGCACTCGTATGTCAAACGCACCATCCTTCCTTTTCCCCCGCAGACAAGCCATGTGCCCCCCGACATATCGCACATGCCATCCAGAAAGCAACAAGCCTGGCTCATGATTTCTACCTTGGCCTTGACATATTTACCGTGTCAGCGGCCATGTCCTGCCTCCTGCCTCACGATTCCCTACGTGACGTGCAACAGGGCAACGCCAGCAAGGAGCGGACATCCGTAATAGACCAAACATATCGAACGAGAGCAAATATACCAAGCGGCCTTGGACCAAACTCCCAAAGGGGGTAGTCACGGATGCGCTACCTGTTGATTTGCTCATCTCTGATACCGCGTCTTCTCCGTGCGCCCCGCGCCTAGCCGGCCTGTGCGTTGATTTCGTAGAACACGCAAACGAGCGAGTCGCTGTAATCGTGGCCACACCTTGTCTCTAAGACCACCAATCATAGGCAGCGGTTCCGCACCTTCCTGAGTCCCCGCCATGGAGTGCCCTTTCTTGCATCATGTCTCGCGATCCTGGGTATCGCTGGCATATTTGGACGGTAGATTGAAAAGATTTTGGGGAATATAGGTATTCGGTGGCTGGGTGAGAGGATGGACTCGGAAGTGCAGGACATGCGCAGACTTGTACGGATGTCCGAGGGCGAAGAAAGTCCAAGTCATCGGCAAGAGGATCCAGTATGCGAGCCCAGAGCTTGCGCGGAAACGCCCATACTACCAGGCAAGATGTCACTTGCTAGTATGAGATCCTCGAGAGCGCAGGAAAACTGAGAGTCCAGCTGCCACAGAGGAAGTTGAAGCTGCTGATGGAATTTGAAGAACGCCGACATACGACGCAGCATGGGCGCCTATCTGTCTTTTCCACGGGGCCGCGACAACAGTCTGCGATGTCAGCTTCAGGTTGCTACTCGACGAGATTGATCTTGACGCAAGTCTTGCAACAGACTCTCTCTTGTCTGACAACATCTCATTCGTTACACAAACCATGCTCTTCTCAGAGAAATCCCCGCGTCCATTTGTCGTGACTCCATGCAGCAAGATGCACATCGATGAGCTCATCAGTAAACCTGGGAATCACTTAATGCCTCTTAAAATCGCCTTTAAGGGCATTAAGGCGCTTAAGATGGCATTAAGGCGGTCTAAGACGTAAGCATTAAGATGCTCGATTAAGACACTTTAAGACAATTAAGATGGGCGAGTGCAAAAACGTTCTGCACTGTCATCGGGCGTGCCGGCCTCTGTCACAATGTCTGCACAGGTTCCGATAGGTCTCTCACTCTGCTCCGCATGATCATTGGCACGTATGCCGCACGTTGTACAGAGTCGAGAGTGAGCAGCTGGAGGATATGCGTGGGAGAGCTAAGTGGCTTAAGGCGCTAAGCCATTAAGCCAATGCATGGTTTACTGATGCTGCGGTGACTAGCAAACGAGATCCTGGAGGAGACATGATCACGCTCACATCTATAACAAAAGATATGCGCGTCGTGTATATCTTAGTCAGAACAACGCTGACGGTTCGCTGTGTAGTCGGTACCTGAACATGGTGAGCAGGAGACACCCCTCTTATAACGCCCTGCTAAATCAGCTGTATCTACTTGGCTAATTGTGACATCCCTTCAGCTGCGATCTCTTGAGGCTGCATTCTAAAGAGGTCTCGCCACTACAGGCGGCCTATATAATGCAGTCTGTCCTACCAGTTGTCTGCCTTTAGACATCTTGACACTTGTCTTCGCACTCGTGCCTCGACAACACCAGCTCTCGCATGTAACGATTTTCTGGTCCCTTGGCCATGCCCCACTCGCACCGTGGAGGAATAGAGGGTGTACGGTTTGCCGTCTAAACGCCATCGCACAGTACATCCGCCTCAAACCCTCCTGTTTCCCTCCCTCGCTTGTAATGTCTCTTTCTGGGCTATACACCGTACTCCGAAGACACAGCAGGCCGTGTTCTCGTTTTTCTCCTCTCTAATGCTGCAATCCCGTCCTCTTGCCATCAAAACTACGATATCTCGACTAGACAAGGCAAAGTCAATGGCGAAATCCTCGGGATCGTCCGTCGTCGCGTTGGCGGCAAGGACAAGATTTCCCACCTGTGCCTTTTTTCCGAGCCTGGTGAGCATCACATGATGCAAAGGTTCTCTCTGGCTCCAGTTCCCTGCGTGGCGAGATCCACTCAAATTCCAGGAGTCACAAGACTTCCTTTGCGAGTTCATCTGCCCCTTCTCGGTCCAGAGGGAGGCTTATCGAGGACAGCGTTCGAACCGCATTGCGGTGTTATGTATCATTCTGGTGCTTCGCTCCTCGCACTTAGACAAATGAAACTTGCATTCGGAGAGATTTCGTTGTACTCGAGAAGTAACTAACGATGACAGTCGCAAGTAACGTTGATGGATCGTTTCGGTTTGGGATGATCACGTCCAACTTTGTGAGTTCATGTCACCCAAAGTCCATCCTGCTCAGATATTCCACGAAGGCCAGTCCCTGTGGAAGGCAGAAGGCAAGCCGTACCTCTCCGGCAACCTAACCATCCAATCTATCTCCCGGCGCGGTTCACGACTCGGGAGTTCCATGAGAGTGATCTCTTTCACGTGCTCCTCCAACGCCGCCGCAAAACTCGGGACTTTGTTCTCGACGCCACCCTTGCCCTTCTTCTTGCGAGGGTTGTAGCGAACGGTGAGGTGACGAATCGGGTGACCACGCAACGCTCGGAAGTCTAGCGCCGTCTCCAACTGCGTTGCATCTCGCTTGTCCGTCACCGAGACCCAGAGGGTGTCCAGAGCGGGCCAAGTCACTTTCCGCTCCCCTTCTGGCGGCTCGGTGAGCGATTCCAAGCCGATGGTGAGAGAAGCGTGGCCCGAGTACCCAGGAACGAGGAAGGGAACGAGAGAGAGCGCGGTAATGTTGGGGAAGATAG